GGCCGTTGTTGATATTAATTATTACCGGATTGACCACAATGTTGAAATCTTTAAAATTACAAATTAAAATTACAATAACAACCATTATAATTTACGTCTAGCCGCCATCACACCGTCAGAATCTTAACAAGAAAACTAGTTGCGAAAATCAATAAAAGGAGAATAAATAAACAGCGGAAAACCAAATTGACAAAATGGCCTCAATTTTTTCGAATAAATGTTTCCAAACTATTACAGTCTGCCGAAGTAATTTTTATAAAATAAATACTCCTACATTTAAAAATCAGCACAGAGCACGCGGAACGGACCAATAAATATTTTTCAAAGTTATCAGACGTATGACAAAACTGATGAAAAATATACGAATGAAAAATGCGCTAATTCCAGAACACCTACTCATGCATGTAAATTACTATTCATTACACACACCACTGTATACGTATATCTATATAAATAAATATATAAATATACAAACGTGCATAAACATAATCTTGTATTCAAATACACAAAAAGTTGACACGACCACAATGAGAATCCATAAATGGATGATTGTTGTCAGTTAGATATAATTTAACAGACATTCATCAGTCTGTAGTCCACTTTCAAACACATCTACTCATGACAAAGCGCTTCTCTGTGCACAACATTGTCCAATTTATGTTTTGCTTGAGTTTGTTTTGCTTGAATGTCGACAAAACATTTTCAGTAGGTCATAAGTGCGAGTAACTATGAAAGCATTCAATTTCTAAATGCGCGGTAATTTCAAGTATACATTAATATTATGTTGTTCACTCAATTGGCAATCATCAGAAGATGAACGTTGAGTTCAAAACGTAGACAAAATGTAAGAGAGCAGTGAATGTTTGACAGACCGGAGGCAAACGGCAGACGTGAAACCTTCATCACCCAATGACGATAGCGCGTGATGGATGCTGTTACTACGGAACATTAATTTGGAAAATAAATTTCCGAGAAGTTTATTACTCGAGAACATTTTTTAAGTCAATCTCTTACAAAGAAAACGTAATGAGAATTATTCTTCAGACTACTTTGTGCAAAAACAATTTTTCTATCAATGAAAAAGTCAAATTAAAATTAAATTAAAAATAGACATGATGTAATAAATTTAAAATGAAAATAATGTATAGCGTTGCAGACTCGCCAATGTTTTATGCATTCTATAAATCATATATGCTATTAGATATGATATGCACTACGGTGTAATCTCATTTATTACATTGTGATGAATTAATTTAATCATCGAGACTGTGTGTCTCACGAGGTTCTCAATAATTTTGTCGTAAGTGGCTGGTATAAAATTATAATACGTAGATAGGATCATTATCATCAATCAAGTCACGTGATAATAAAGTCACCATAAACTAGATGACGTCATCTATCAACCTGAAGACCTCCGATTTATGCCAATCCAGGGCCATCCGGATCCCACCACGTAAACATCTACCATTATATACTCCGCTGCTCTCTGAATCTTTCGTCCTCTACTTTTTTCTGCATGCATCTACCATACATGATGATGTGTTTTCAAACATTTGTGTATTCTCAGAAGTAAAGAAACATAAACAAATTATTTTTTGATGGTAGTACGGCTTGCGCTTTAGAAAGTCGAACGTAAAAAAGCATGCAGATAAACTTTTTCACTTACATGTAAACATTTAGATGCGCACAATTTGAATCATGCAAGCAAAATATTTCATCAACTGACCTCAACGTAAACAGCGAGGGGCATAACCAAAATGGCAACCATGATGTCGGCCACCGCCAGCGAGAAGATGAAGTAGTTTGTGGCCGTGTGTAGCGACTTCTCGCGCCAAATACTCAAACAAACGAGAAAATTTCCAAAAACAGTGAAAAACGGAAAGACGAGAAGAAAGAGAGCTCCGTAGTTGACGTTGTAATCTTCTTGATCGGTTGCATTGTTGATGCTGTTGTTGAAGTTGTTGTTGAAGTTGTATTTAATGTTGTTGTTGTTGCTGCTGCTACTGTTGCCGTCAACTGTTTCGCCATTATAATAGTTAATTACCATGGGCGACTGAGTCAGCTGGACTATAACCACTTCTGATGTGAAAAAAAATCATTAGAATCAACATGCAACTTGGTGCATTATAACGTTTATCGTATTGTACCATTGTATGATGATGATGATGATAAAGTTTAAAAAACAGCACACATGTTTATTAACAGAAACGTCAATTTTTTCATCAAAAATCATCTTAATTCATGCCAATAAGGCATTGTTGTACGAGATTCCATACATGCGAGTCATCAATGTTGTCAATCGAATATTTTGAAACATCAAACCTCTAACATTCAAACATTTCAAACATTCAACCCTCTTTATATTTTCATTATTTTTTAATGGGTATAGTTCATTTTAGCAACTATCGTATTAATTATTATCACGATAATATTTTTACTAGTTTTAAAAATGAGAGTGATCGAAGAGTTTACGATCAGCGGTATCTGGGTCCAAATCCTGGCAAATCCCGGTTTAGCTTGCAAATACACTCGATGTTAATGTGTTCTTTAAAAATTAAAAGCGTTGTGACTAACTGAAACTACAACTCAATCAATTCATGTAACACTTGAGTCATGTCTAGCAGCGTTAGCAACGGTAAACAAAGTAACGCACGAGGTCAACCATCCAAATTTATTTAACTTGGATTAAGACTTCAGAAATGCAGTTATTGATAAAAATGACAGCATGTTCCGCTTTAGTTAGTTTCCTATTTAATTTTTCGATTTTTCTAACGGTAGATCGTAAATCATTGTCAAGTTTATTGAGTTCAAACCCAAAATTTTATTTATTACAAGCATGATAGAGCAAAAAAGCTTTTTATGGCATCCCTGTATCATCTTCGGTGTTCGAATTGATACGTAATAGCGAAGTTTCATTAACTTAGAGAAAAGTGAAATAAAAAAAATAGTTAAATTAGAATTTTATTTAAAGCAGAGCCTTACTAAATATTAAACTACTAATTAATATATTCAGAAGCCTAATGTCCATGTAGATTGTTTTCATTCTAATTTATAAAAGTTTTTTTCTCATTCCACATAACAATATATCGAAAATAAATTTTTTAATTTATATTTTGATAACAATATTTTTTGCAGTAACATTTAGGACATTTTAATCACAAAATTTCAAGTTAATTAGATCTTATTAAATTATACTAGCCGATTATATTTTTATTAGGGCTCCACCGACTTTCGGCTTTTTCCAAAATGCGGTATTGTTTCTACATTTGGCGAAAATTTTGCCTTGGCTGAATTTTTCACGTAAGCTTTAGCAAAAATTAAACGCCAGTTTAAAAAACTAACAAATTTTGCACTGTCACTGCATAAAAATATTGTTAGCAATATAGCTAGTGCCCGGTAAAAATACATAACATATTTATCGTAAAATTATTCGAAAAGACCTTTCTTTGTTTATGAACGTGATATTTTATTAGCTATCATTTTCGTACATATCAAAATAAAATAATAAATTATGAACGATTAAGGAAAAACAAGTTTAATGTGGGAGTACTTTAAAGAAAAAACCGACGACGCATTCAGATGTTGTGCCCCAGCATAATTCCACGTGGAAAATCAGACCAACAGCCAGAAATTGTGTACAATACCCTTGATGACGCATCTTTGACAAAATTAAAACACGTTTTTTTAAAATTATTTGGAATTTACTGAAACAAAAAAATAGAAAAATTGTTTGGCTTGGGACGAGTTTAGGCAAAAGTTGAAAAATAGAACGTACATGATGCACATATTCGGCTGCGGCCGAATTTTTAAAAATCACATTCGGTACAGCTCTAATTTATATAAAACATATCATATAAGATATAATAATAATTTTAAAACATCAATAGTTATGAATGCAGCTGATGCAACAAATGTTAACGTCATCGTTAACATTCGTTGCATCATCGACAACATCATCATCAACATTATCATCATCATCAACAACTGCATCATCCTCATCATCATCAACATTATCATCATCATCAACAACTGCATCATCCTCATCATCATCAACATTATCATCATCATCAACAACTG